CCCGTCCGCGAACAGCCTGCTCAGCGGCCGGGGCTGGCAGCGCGCACCGGCCTCACACTCCGCAGTCCGTGCTGGGAGCCGCTGGCAGCACCTTAGTTTCTTCCGTTCGCTCCCTTCATGGACGGTGAATAAAGGGGGCACGATCCTCTCACGTGAGCTTTATGTGGATTCCAGTTCATCAGGATTTCAGCTTTCACCCCCAAACTGCTGTTTGCTTGGCTGCAATTATGCCTTTGGAAGTAGAGCTGATAGAGTGTCCTCAGTTCCTGGCTCTTAGCTGGTTCCTGGTGGGGAGACGGGGGGCACCCCCAGGCTGCAGGAGGGGAGATGCCTGGCTCTGCCTTCCCCTTCGCTTTCAACCAGAGCTCAGGGCAGAGCAGTGGCTGATGGCTGTTCGCCTCAGAGCTGCCGTCCCTGATGCCCGACCTTTCCTGTTTCTGGAGGTTCAAGGCAGGGGTCCCCTCGCCCTAACATTAGCCCTAGGCCTCGGCGACGTAACCCTACCCTAGCCCTACACTTAACCCTACCCTAACCCTAACCCTGACCTTCGTTTTGTGCCCTAGCCCTCTGCCCAGAGCTTAAGGCAGCCACCGACACACCTCTGTCTCCTCCCCCGACAGCCCAGCCTCGGGCTCACGAGGACAGAGAGGCTCCCTGGGCTCTAGGGACAGTCCGCCTCACCCCTCAGGTCCCACCTTCCCTTGGCCTGAGCCAACAGTCACCCACATGCCAGTGCCCGGGGGAGGCGACCTTGAGCCTTCCCCACCCACTCCAGCCTTCCCATGCCCCCATGTTTTCAGCAATTCCTGGGACCTGCTCCTCACCTACCTGGGTGGTGGTTTAAAACGCACTTCCTAGGGCACAACCCCCCGTCTTCTGGGGCCAGCGTAAGCCACCACCAGGGAGACCAGATCCCCAGGGCGGGCTCAGCTGGCCCCTCCTGTGTCCCTCAAAACAGTCACAGGCTTCACCCTTTTCTCCACCAGCACCCCTGTGCCGGGCCATCTCTGAGCCGCTCAGCTCCTTGTGCCTTAACCATTCCCTTAACCCTCACCCCAGCCCTAAGCCTGACCATAGCCTCGCCCTAACCATACCACTTAACCCTAGCCCTGAGCCTAATCATAGCCTCGCCCTAGTCCTAACCATACCCCTTAACCCTAGCCCTGAGCCTAATCATAGCCTCGCCCTAGCCCTAACCATACCCCTTAACCCTAGCCCTGAGCCTAATCATAGCCTGCCCTAGCCCTAACCATACCCCTCATCCAGAGCAGCCCTGCAGGCAGCGCAGGCGGGCGTCACAAAGGCACCCCGTGCTCTGGGCCCCGGCTCTGGAGGACACTGGGAGGCGGTGGCTCAGGCCCCTGTACGGGGCTTGGCGGTCCCCCGGCTGATGTGAAGGACACAGGTGAAGTTTCTCGTGCTCCACACTCTGCCGTGGCTGAAAGCCCTCGGTCACCAGGGCCATGTGCGGCCTCGTGGTCAGGGCTCCCTCTGCCAGGTTTGGTCCTGTTCTTGTAAAACGGGTCATAACCCTCAATTGTGACAGGAGTGGGTCGCCCAGAGAGCAGAGTTCGGTTTGACTGACCAGGCGTAGAATCGATTGGTGTTGCCTTCAGGTGTGTGCTTGTGGCTTTGGGAAGAGTCGTGTCCGTGGATAAAAGGGAAATAGTGCACCTATCTCAGCTGGTAAAGGGGCTTCCTGGTGGGCAATGAGCAGGGTCCGGGTGTCAGCCCAGCGCAGAGACAGCGGGGCCCCTTACACCGACATCTCCCAGCGGGGACAGCCTGTGCCCACACACACAGCACTCAGCAGTTCTCAGTTTTGAGTTGAAATGGACTGAGCGCAAACGATTCTTTGGAAGTAGGTGCTACAGCACCAAATGCGCGGCAGCGTGAGGCAGTGAGCACCGCTCACCAAGCACCCGTGCCAGGACCCGCAGTGCCAGGACCCCGGACTGCCTTCGGGAGGACGGCCTCTGAGGAAGCTCCCCCCCTCCCCCCCGCTGCACAGGCCGCGGCCCCACAGAGCCCCCGAGAGGCTGTCCTGCTGAGGCCCCCAGAGCTGTGCAGCCTCGTTTGGGGAACTGCCATGTTTAAATCCCAGCTCAGTTTCGGGTTTACTCGCGTAACCCCGAGGAGGTCTAATGGGTGGAGCCCGCGTTCACCCCACTCTTCCCATCAGAGCTGGTCTGTTAGGCGCCAAGCGTTCGCCCCTTCGCTCTGAAGAAAGTTGTCGCATAGACAAACGTTGCAAAAAACAAGTAAACCAACAACTGCCAATATAGGGGAATGTGTCCTGAGATCTTGAAATAAAGGTAATTTTGAGTTAAACTTATAAGTTCAGGTGTGTTAATGAGACTAGAACTCTAGACGGTATTTCCATTCAGAATCACGCTGTGAGCATTTAATTCATCAGCCGCAGGTGTTAGTTTCCCGCGCGCCGGTGTCCACGTGCTGTCTTAGGGGTTAACTTGGGCAGGAGAGCGGCCGGTGCCCACGATGCCGCGTGCCTGTGGCGCAGTCGGACGCACAGTTTCGTTTCCAGTCTGGCTGTGCGTGTCTCCACTCCCGGGAGCCTCACCTCCTTCCATCAGGTTCTCCCGGCGTCCGCGGGGGCAGCGGGCACACGGGCCGGGCTCCAGTCTGAGTCCAGGCTGTAGACGTGAAGCGCCCCGGCCAGTCGGGCTCCCAGAGAGCTCCTTTCCGCGGCCACGACCACTTGGTTCTGGGGAGACAGAGTGTTAGTCGTCAGAGGACCTGGAGACATGGGCCGGGACCTCCGCTGCCTTGCCCGCCTGGCACCCATGCCCGTCCCAGCCCACCAGAGGGCCCGCTCCTCACCCATGCCCGTGCTCCCAGCCCATGGGCCGGGACCTCCGCTGCCTTGCCCGCCTGGCACCCATGCCCGTCCCAGCCCACCAGAGGGCCCGCTCCTCACCCACGCCCGTGCCCGTCCCAGCCCACCAGAGGGCCCGCTCCTCACCCACGCCCATGCCCGTCCCAGCCCACCAGAGGCAGCAGAAACAGCTCAGGTGGGGCCTCGCCTGGTTCCAGCTCCCTGTCCTCAGCCCCGCGCTCCCCGGGCACCAAAGGGACAGAGCTGTGAGCCCACCCGTCCTCGGGGACCTCTCCCATGGGGTGTGTATGGTGAGGGGTGTTCCTCTCTTTCCCAAGTGAAAACACAATCGGTCTGAATGAGGCCGCCCCAAACCCCAGCCCAGGGACAGCATGCCGGAGCCCAGCCCTGGCCCCACCTTGTCCTGGGACCGCACGGTGACCAGGCCGCTCCCGAACCGCGAGCTCGCCTGCAGAGAGAGCGGTGACAGGCCCTGGGAGACGCCCCCGCCGACAGCTCCCAGGAGGGCAGGGCCCCCGCAGCTCCCCTCACTCCCGCATTACTTACTTCCGGGGAAATCAGGACGTGCTGGGCCTGAAAGACACGGTGAGGGAGGGGGACTCAGTTCCTACGTTCACGCTCTCCCTGAACTCTGCCTCCCCGTTCTGCAGGAGCCTTAGAATGTGCGTGCTCTCCGACACCAGGAATTCCCCTGAGAGGAATTCAGGCCAGAAAAAACACATGTGGCCCAGCTGGCGTGATCGATGGACCAGGAGGTCACAGTTTGATTCCCGGTCAGGGCACAGGCCCGGGTTTCGGGCTCCATCCCCAGGGTGGGTGTGTAGAGGAGGCAGCCGATCCATGATTCTCTCTCTTCATTGATGTTTCTTTCTCTCTCTCCCTCTTCCTCCCTCTCTGAAATCAATAAAAATATACTTAAAAAAGAAAAATATGTGCGTAAAAGTGTCTATATGTGAATATTACATATAACGGTGCCTAATGAACTACAGATAAAATACACGACAACCGCTAAACATAAATGAGACGCTGGGGAAGGACTGGAACGTGTTGCTCGTTGGCAGGTAAAGCAAACATGGAGCAGCGCTGTGTGTGGCACGGAGCGCAGTGTGGCCGGCGGGTGGAGATGCGCACAGTG